CCTTGTGTAATTTAAGAGGTTACACTGAGAACTCTTGTTCCTCAGCGGCTGTGAGTTTCATAAAAAAATGATGATGCTTATGAGCATCCTTTCCCACTCGTCCACTCAAGGATGCGATCAAATGACAAGCCCTGGCGGATAAACGCCAATCTGAAGAATCTCAGCTTATCAAGCAACGTCAGCAAGCCTACAAGAATGGCAACATGAGACAGTGGCGGGTAGTCCGCAACAAGATACAGCGAGATATCAAGGCCACTAAGCACGAGTTCTACAGAAACACTGTTCAGCATTTCAAATCCAGCCAACCACATGGCACAAACAAATTCAAAAGTTATCCCAGTGCAAAGCACAGAAAATCAACAATTCCTACTCTTGCTGATGTTTAGGAATGATGGTTTGTTTTTTGTGCAATAAATTGTAACACATTTAAAGATCACTTTAAAGAAAACCAGGAAATTGTATTCGCCGGCGTAGACGTGACGTCACTCCGAGGTCACCGGCTCGTTGCCCTAGTGACTGGCTCACGCACTTTCACACAGAGCCATCATGACTATTTCAATGTACGTTATCCTGATTACCACTGCATGATTAAATGGCCGTTGTGATTCTCCAGTTACACTTTGTTGACGTTATATTGACCAATCAAACTCACGCTAGCACATCCGTTCGGAGAGCTCTCACGGCGTTGATGCTCACCGAAACCCATATTCAGAATTCTGTCAAATGTGAAGCCAGGAAGCGAAAGACCTTGCAATGATGGCTCTCACTTGTGTGATTACATCCCGCTGCATAGCAGCCGCCCATGTTTCCCTTCAAAATGTGAGTTTTAATGGTTGAATTTTTACTCGAAATATGGCGTGTTTCGTGCCACACGCTAAGTACAGGAAGGATCAGGTTGCTATGCATGACGCATGAGCCAGTGCTCAGGAAGTTGCTGTGACCTCGGCAGGAAGTGACATCGGTCTACGCTGGCGAATTGACCTTATTCTGTAGTTTAGTAACGGTATTTGCAATCATTGAACCCAAGAAAGCGTTTAATAAGGGCAATAACTGCACATGAACACTTCGGGTACACAACTTAATTAAAGCAACTGCGCAAACACTAAATTTATCGTTGTTGTCAGATCATATCAAGCACCAACGATGGCATGAATATTCAACTTCCTATGCTGCAGTACACAACGTTTTAGGGATGCAGATTACCAACAAAAAATTGCGGCGACGATCATGGGGTACAAAAGGGGGCTTATGGTTGCTTATGGTGAGTAGCAGGCGTGCGCTGTGCTCTGGCTATGGACATACAGGGCAT